AGAGGAGAGAGAAAGAGGGAGAGAGAGTGTGTGTATGCCTTGAGAATTCACTGAAGCCTATAAATATGTAATCCCATTCGAAATGGGAAACCTTGGTATTGATGTCTTTATCTTACCGCATCTCCATCAGCACTGTCTTTAAAATCCAAGAAACAAAAATATAAAGCAAATATAAAAAAACGTGGTTTTTTTTTTTTTACCATGTATTGATTTTGGGTCGTTTTCAGGTTCGACGTGACTCGTTGCACCGAACCGGCCGGTCCATATATCGTGCATTTACAACAACGACGCTTGATGGGAGTTTCTTGATTAACGCGCCGATCTCACGCGGCAAAATCCCCTCCCCCTGTTCCGCGCGCCAGCCGGCGGCGGCGGTCGCTGGGAGTCTGGCATTACCCTTTATCGAGGTTTGGAAGGTTTCAAGCCCACCATCAGCTTCCCTTCAAGTTCCTAGCGGAGGAGCTCGTCGGCCTGAGCGCCTGCGTCGTCGGCGACGTGGACACTGCGCCCCTACTCGCTCTTCCCCCGGCTCGGCGCACTTGTTTATAAAGGCGCCGCCTTCGCCGCCGTGGCCTGCGAACATCCTTGGGAGGACGGCGATCTCAGGAGGCTCGATCGCTTTGAGGGCGTGCATGGATCCGGCAGTTGAGATTGCCAACAAACCCCCGCCGTCTGGCCTTACGGCGTCGGTCTTCGAGGCTGACTGGGTTGCAGAAGGTGGTGGTCGAGCGGAAGGGAGAAGAGAAGAAGAGGTCGATTGAGAACAACGGGGTTGCATCAGTTGCAGAGGTTGGCGGCGCAGAGTTGCAGAGTGGTCGAGTAAGTCACTCCTTGGTGCTTAGGAAGGAAGGGAGATCACGGGAAGTGTTTGAGGTATTAACTGCAAGAATGCTCAGACTAGATATAGTTTATCTTTGATGATATCAATGTGAGCTTTACGAGATCACTGAGCTCGGCTTCGTGTTCTCGGGGGATGCCCGGGAAACATGAACAGGCTTCTCCTTTGGACACAAAAACTAGCAGTGGTGGTGAAGTTACTTCCTGAAGAGTTAGTGTGCCATGACAAATATATGGAAGACAAATTGTATTCTATTGATCTCTCGAAGAGTATAAATATACAACTCTATGCTTGTTCACAATATGTATGTAAAATATATAAAAATATGTTTTCCAACACGTACAAAACACACTCACGCATATGCGATCTATTCATATTAACACTTAAAGATATCTACTTGTGGAGGGAATGCCTTCTGCACCATTAGTACTGTTCTTGAGAGCTAACCTGACCAAGCGAATGAAGCCATCCAAATCATAGTAACTGAACTCAATGGCTTCCTTCATGGAACGGAGCTCCTCGGCGCATGATGAGTTGCCTTTGGCAGCCGAGTCGAAGGCACGACGATATCTGGAGGACGCACCCATCGCAGCATCCACATGCTCTGCCTGCGAACCATGGAATCCAAATTGTTATCTGCAATGCTACGAGACTAAACTATCTGCAGTAGCAGCTAGCTTGTTGATATCGATGACACAGAGACAAATGATAGCTTCACATACTACATCGAGGAGTTGATGCACCTCGGCTACGGTCATTTGATTCTTCTCTGCGTCAACATCCAATTGCCTCTTCATGTTTTGTGTCCCATATCTATCACCTGTAGTTGAACCCAGGCGTGAATCTTGGTTGAAGAACTGGACAACGTCGGCCTTGAGAGAGAGAGAGAGAATGCTCCCAGTAGATGCCGCTACCTGATGGGAGATTTGACCGAAACATGAGAATTCTGAAGTGGGTCACTTCCACGCACTTGTACCCGAGAGCAGCAACCTTCATCTTCGCTTTCTTCTCACTTGCCTCAGCGTAGTGTCTGCATTCGAGCATGCGTACAGGTCAACCCATGACTTTGACTTCAACACTTGAGAGATCCAAAAGGAATTAAGTGAAGCCAAATGTTATGGAGAAAGCAGACTCTGAAACTGACTTGAAAAGCCTCACTGCATCAGTATAGATGTCCAAAATATTCTTCGTTTCTGAGATGTTATCACTGGTGCAGCTCTCCAGACTACATGCTTCACTCAAAAGTTCAAGTGCTGCATCTATGTGTATCTCAGTGATCTCATCTTGATCACCATCCTACAAAATATAATGCTTATAAATATAATCATTCAAAGAAATTTCTATATATATATATATATATTTTCATTCAAATGAATAAAATCATTAAATAAAGGATGTAGTAAAGAATCAACCTTCTTCTGAACATGAAGATGTCTGCTTATTCTTTCCTCGCAGTTCTCCATTGCAATCGAATGGTTCTAAACCGATGATACGATGGAAAAATGGAGAGATGCTTGTCTAGATTTATAGAGGATATTAGGGAGAATTATAATTTACATGGGAATTTCTATTTATATTAACTTTATATTTAAATAAGATTCGAATAAATGTATTCCTTATTATGGTATTTTAAATTAGACAACAGATAATGATCGACGAAGATGTCAAGCAGCCTAACTAGTAGAAACATGACAAAAAAAAAAGATTATTTAGTGACCTACGTGGACCAAAGTCTTGATAGTAAGATTCTGATATTTATCATTTATTTTTTACCGAAAGAAAGAAAAAAAAACGATGAGATGTCTTCCGTATCAGTGTATGAAAAATAATTAGAAAGCTAATAATAACTTATATTTACCATATAATATAAAAATTTTAAATTAGAAAAAAAAATAAAGAGTATGTGTAATGACAGTTATATTTAAGTATTAATGTGTATTATTGTATCCATGTACATTAACTTTCTGGTTCTTTGGATTTAGATTCCTGTATCCAATGGTTAATCGGATTCGGATCGGGGTGGGATGAACGGATCCGAAGAAACGCAAGCCCGTTTTGACGCGCCGGGGTTATATGCTTCGGAGTTGCGGGCTACTGGGTCGACTCGGGTGCTTGTCCGAGCCCCCTCTTCTCTTCGGTCTCCCCCTATTTCCCCGAGCCCTATTTCTCCGTTTCGCTCGGGGAGCGGCCACGGAGCTGCGGCGACAGAGCCCCGGAAGCGCGGCGGGAGCGACGTTCCGCCGTCCGCCCTCGGAGAGTTCACGGAAGCACCTCTCTTTTTTCCTTGTTGGGGTGGGTGGGACTCTTTCTTGGGGTTTCTCCGGTGTTGTTTTACTCTGCGATCCTTTGTTCCTCTTCTGTTCCTTTTTCTTCTTTGAATTATCGTAAAAATCGATTCTTTTCATCCACGATACTTTGCACCGACAGTTTGTGGATGTGGACATGATGATATATGTAGAGGAAGATTGCAGTCTATCTCATCTTTTGTCAATCTTTTCCTTGTTTCTCTGCTTTGACTTCTTTTCTTTTTGATAGTATCGAGGACCTGAAGCTAGCTCCTGGCTGAAGTTTTAGCTTGAGAATATTCTCCCAGTTGATAAAGTGAGAAATCCTTTTGCCCTTTAAATTATTCAAAAGAGATCTAGAACTTTTACTCTATTGAGATTTTGTTGTTATACACACTATACAGCAGACCCAAAGTTTGTCCGCCTGCGTCTTTGAAGATAGCAGCGGATGCCACTGTAATTTTGATTCTTTACAAATCACATAGGGGTGAAGTGTTAGTTTATTTTAATAAAAAAGTAAAAAAAATTGAATATAGTGCTTACAGTCTTTGGGTTCATCATCTGATGCACTTTGGAAATATTTTTTGATCAGATCAACGTCAAGGTTAGTCTATTTTATTAAACTACACACATTATATAATCAAATAATCACATGTCATTTTCGAGCACCATCTGATGAATCATGAATCTAACTAAATCTAAAACCAAAATTTATCCAATTAATTTTTCCATCCCATGTGATGCTTTTCAATCCAACTCTAATCAGTGGTTCATACTTGATGATTCTCATGATTTTTCATATTTAATATAATAATTGTTCAAAGATGGATTCAAAACTTTTTGATGCTTTATAGTTTGCTGTTCCATCTAATCCTTCATGTAATTAATAATTATGGTTTTACCATTGTTTCTTATTCTTCTGTAGGTATCATGTCATCAGGAAGTAAGGGAATGGCATGTGTTTACAGATATGGCATATTGGTGATCTTTCTTTCTTGGGGTGTGTTGTCTTATTGTTCAATTGTCTATTATCATGGCTTCTTTGGTAATATGCTTTATTAACTGTCATTCTTTTCTGTTATTTATGTTCATTTCATCCTGTCTTTGACTAAATTTCTTTAATGATGTTGACACATTCATGTGCTTAGTCTTATTGTATGTATGAGTGTTGCACATGTTCATCGCATGCCACTTCATTATCTTTCTCTTTTTGCATTGCATATTTCATTATGCAGTATTTCCTGAAGTTTATTGGACAGTAATATTCCACTATATTGTCTTGCCTGTTGCAAGTTAAGATGGATGCAACTGAAGGGAGGTATCATATGCTTTATACCTATTCGGACTCTTCTGCAGTATGACATGCATTGCACAGGACCCTTTTTGTATATATTTTCAAAATTTTCAGAGGAAGGTATTGGAGTAGCCAGAAATATTTAGGCCTTTTATATGTTGGTGAATGTATCTTAAATGCTTCCCTGACTTTGCAAATGATACAACGAAGCATCATATTAATATTAACAATAACATCCACAATCTATCAAATTTGATTTTTCTTTGCTTGAGATTTTTATTTAATCAATCATTAGCATTTTGATTTCTTGATGAATAATTCATGATTTGCCTCTGTGCTGACTAATGAGTATTGAAATTTGTATGTGTTGCCAGTATCAGCTTCATTACTTGTGTCTTCTAGTGAAGATGATTATTTCCGCTGTGAAAGTGTCGTAAGAAATTGGGCAGATGCTTCAAGTGAAAGAGGAATAAAAGAAGATGAATTAACTCTAAAGGATATACTATTTTTTCTGCATGTTCCGAGAACTGGGGGACGGACATACTTCCATTGGTCAGTGCCTTTACTTCTCTTTTCTTGGTATCTTGGTTCATATCATACATTGGCTTTTACTGAGTTGTGTTTCTGATATTCATTTAATTGCTTACAGCTTTTTGAGAAAAATTTATACGAGTGCTCAAGAATGCCCACGTTCCTATGATAAATTACGATTTGATCCAAGGTAGTTCTCCTTTTCCCATGGTAATTTAAGCTTTAATTGACATTTAATAGCTACAGGAAGCCAAACTCTGTCATAAAAACATTTAATTATTGTTTTTGCAACGGTAACCAACAAACTTTCTTACTGCTTTACTTGCGAGATTCATGGAATAGTCTGAGTTAAAATAGGAAAAATCTGATCCTGCAGAATACATAAGCAAGTGCTTGCAGGAAGCATCATTGTGGATCATCTTTGAAGAACAACAAACTATGGATGTTCTTAACTTACTGATTGAGTTTATGATTGCATGATGTTAGTTACTCAGGATGACAAAAGGGACAAAATTTGTCCGAAAATCAGCTGCTAATTAAAGTTGGCCATACAGACTCACAAGAATTGTCCTTGATGTATTAAGTGGTACATATATTGCAATGGGGTGATGAAGCATAAAAAGACCACCCATTTGAAGTTGTTTTCAGTAGAAACTGGTAAAAGAAAAAGAGTTCGTACGAGGCTTCACTATGGAATAATGAAAAGGCTCTTTTATGGATATCTTTAAGACACCACAATGTTTAGAGTGTAGAAAGTGAAGGAATTGACTGAATGTATAGAAGTAGTTACTAAGGAATTTAAGGAACCTGTAATAACAGCTGAAATCAGTGATCCATAACATAGCCAAGGACTTGGTGTCAGTCATGCTTCTTAGGAAAATAAAAGCATTCAATGTAGGAAAATTAAGTATGATGAGGCCAGTTTGGAGTAGGATTTTTGCTAGAGCTGTTGAGCGGTATGATTTCAGTCATTCATTATCATGGTTCTGAACACATTCCAATGAACATGCTTTTATCTCAATGCTGTAGTTATTCACCATTGTTTTAAGTGGAACACCTTAATTTTGAGCAGGATGGAAATTTGAGTTGCCAAATTGCAGGAAAGTGTTCAGTCAATTTAGAATAGGTCAAACATATCAATGTGGTGAGACATATTTAATGGTTCTATTATGTACAATCTAGAATGGAAAGCAACATATTAGCTGTAGTAGCTATCTGTGACAATATAATTTGTCAAAATCTCAGCAGCAAGGCAAGTGTTCATTTTCCTGTGTGATCAAATTGTTTCATGGCAAACATTTTGTAGGATAAGTTAAATATGCTGTTTTTATCTTCTTTTTTTCTGGTGAAACACAACAAAGTGGTTTGAAAATTTAAAAAAGAGCTCTGGATACCTATTCTCTCATGGTTGTATTAAGTTTCTGAGTCTGTTGGAAATAATTTTATGAACATTAAGATTCTTAAACTTAGAAACGGCATTTAGATAATATGTTTTATTTATCTTGATATTTTTTAGCTCTGATAAGCTGAATTTGGTGGTCTAGCAAACCCAATTGCAGATTGGTGGTTACTCATGATGACTATAGTTTGATGTCCAAACTGCCTAAGGACATGACCTCAGTGGTAACAATTTTGAGAGATCCAGTTGATCGTGTGTTCAGCACGTATGAATTTTCTGTGGAGGTTGCAGCTAGATTTCTTGTGCATCCAAATTTGACTTCAGTAGCCCAGATGTCTAGACGAATACGCCCAAAATCTCGTGCTGTTAGCACATTGGATATATGGCCTTGGAAGTATTTGGTTCCTTGGATGAGAGGGGACTTATTTGCACGGGTGTGTATTCTTTACCCATTGGTGCCTACATTTACCTATCTTGTCTTATGATAGTATGCTTCTTTGTTCAGCTTGTTTTTACTGACATGCACAAAAATAAGCTACATAACTACCAAATCCTCGAGTAGCTTTCTATATTGGTCTTGGCTGGTCAGGCGCAGATGAGGTCAATGAGATGACTCAGCTGCGGTGTTAGTTTTGTGATGCAACCTGGTGGTTAGATTATCTTACTTCATTAAGATTAGATCTAGTATGAGCCATAAATTATAAATTCTATAATTACAAAAAATAAGAATGGAGTTGGATGAATGAAAATATTTGTCTGTAAGAGGGCAAACACTTTATCTAGAATTTTGTAAATTTAAACACAAACATTATATATATATATATACACACACACACACTTTAAATACAAAAATGTAATCGCTCTATTTTTAAATTTTTATCAATATACAAGTAAATCATAAAAGTTGTATGTCCTTGTGACATCATTGTTTGGAGGCACAAGTCTATATTCATGTTTCTTTGCAGTTTTGTGTTTTTTTAATTTTTTCCATGATACCAAGTGGTAGGGGTTGGTGTCCCATGTAGCAAGGATTTAGATCTTGGTCTGATATTGATTTGAATAATTTATCATATCTAAGGTACTGGTATGCAGGGCATCATATCAACCTATATAGCTCAGTAGCACCCAAAAAAAAATAAAAAAATTGGTATCGATGCGTATTGGATCATATGGTCCAATATTGGTCCTCGGTTAAACTAGTAAGCATTGATCAGTATGCATTATATCAACTGGTAGTTGAAATCATGCTCCCCAGTATGCTGATACATTGATTTTGTCAAAACTAGTCTCAAACTGAGATTTAAATCCTTGCTTCACACCATCTTATCAGTCTTAATATTGTATGAGATACTATAAACTGATCATATTTATAAATATGTAGGAATTAAAACGGTCAACATAAGCCGAATATTGAAATAAATTACCATGCTGATTCTAGACAGGAAACGGTTAACAAGACTATATGTTAGACGAAATGGTGCCAACAAACCTAATGTCAGTTAATGTTGTAGACGGGTTTCATAGAGCTTTAACTTATATTTCTTCTTCACCTCTCTATGCTTGCCTGAAAATCTCTCTCACCAATTGTGGTCAAATGTTGTACAGAGGGATGCTAGAGAACTTGGGAGACTTAGAAAGACTGAAGAATTCAGTAGCCCATATGACATGGAAGACATGGTTATGCCCTTACATGAGTTCATCAATGACCCTATAGCTCATGACATCATTCACAATGGAGCTACTTTCCAGGTGTGATGCTGTAATACCTGCTGGCAGCATTCTAATCTTTGCTTGCTGTTCTTGCATTTTTTTTTCTTTATAGGATGTCCTGCAGTGATGCTTCTTCAACTGGGCATTGTTTCTGCTCATGAAAAAAAGTATCCATGTGTTTGTTCTCTCTACAAATGATATGTTATTTTCTTATTTATATTTAGTTATTATTTTTATTGCATATATAGGTAACCTGAAGATGTTGCCTTTCTGAAAAACGAAGAACTTCAGGAATTAATAGAGATTAGATTGGTTGAACTTGAATTCCTTTTGTCCTGGAATTGAAGGGACTTCGTGGCAATGCAAATAGACAGGCTTACTGGTGTTATTTGAGTTTCCTTAACTGGTTTGGAGCATGTTATATATAGGTTTCAACCTTAGAGCACAAAATTGGTAATGAATGAACTTATTAGAAAGAGAATGCCAATTTTTACTACCTGTTCTTTAAAGAAAAAGAAAAAAATACTACCTATTAGGTTCTTACTCGTTCAGAAGCATAACATTGTTGTTCTGGTAGCCCTTTGACAGTTTTTGAAGGTGGTAGCTTGATCCCGTCTACTGAATTGAAAATGATGGTTTACCCTCATTTATGATTTAACTATTTACTTTCAGATAAAGATTCCAAGCAAATTTGTTTCTTTTTTTTTTTTGTCATATTTATGTATTAGTAGGTGAAGCTTCCATTCCATCAACATTGAGCCAGTTGATTGATTAAGCCATTAATTATGATCTTTGTCTCTTTTTTTTCATTTTCTCCTCGCGTTTGCTTTTTTTGTTTTTAAAGGATAACTGATCTTTACATCTCAAGATGTCTGCCTTGTTGCTTTTAGTTCTCGTAAGAGTTGTGTACTCTGTGATATGTGCTCAATATTCAACTGTAATGTTATTTTTTGTTCCAAATATGTCCTGGAATGCCATTCAGGTAACAGTGTAGGGCATCCACACAGTACCACTAACTGGACGAGGGACATTACCTCTCTGAATTTAATTTTTTGATATGATAATATAATGTGATCATGGTCATGAGGGTTGTACAGTACAGATTTTGTTAATACAGTGGTTTCATATGTCAGGTAGCAGGACTAACAAACAACTCATATGCTGTAGAATCACATCACGTGCGTAGTTGTGTAAGGAAGCACCCAGAACTTGGCCATTTTGTACTAGAGGTCGCGAAGGTGCATTTAATGAGGCCTGATATCATTGTTATTATGATTTGTATGCATCAATCTTTGTTTTTACTGGTAGTCACAGCTACTTAATGCTACAGCATAGGTTGGATCATATGCTATATGTTGGTCTCACTGAAGAGCACAGGAAATCTGCTACCATGTTTGCCAAACTGGTTGGAGCACAAGTACTTTCCCAGTCTGAAGCCTTGAATTCTACCTTCAAGCAGGAAACATCCAACCAAACTGGTACACCTGAAACTTGATTTTTTACTTTTAGTCATGGAGTATCACAATTTTCATATTTATGTCTATATGCTCTGTGCTTTTATGGTGCTAATCATATATGCTAGATGAATGCTGTTGTTTATGAGCACAATTAAGTGACATGAGAATTAGAAGTTGGAATTCCAATCAGTACAAGGGATATTCCTTGGGGATGTAACAACCTGTCTATGATGAGTTCTTTCTCCCCTATCTGAACACTGCTTTGAATTTATATAATGGCAAATAACAGTGACAACACAGTAAATAATATTCAAATCAACCATTACTATTCAGGTATTCCATTTTTATGAGAGATTTAATTTTGATAAATAGGAAAACTATAACTGCAATTGTTCACTGCTACAATGGTTAAATGACTATTAGTGCTTGGTTGAATTTAACTACAATGAGAGACAGTTCGAGGTGTTGAGGCTTTTTCCTTCTTCGTCTGGTTGTCAACCATAGTGTGGCAGAGATGGAATATTTGATTTGAAATCAGCACAGACCATATCCCTGTACGTGTGCCACCTGACACAAGTCAGAATAGGTTGCACTTGTCATCTATGCTCGAGAATGCTTATAGTCAACAGTTTTTATATAAAATGAGTCCAGAAGGTCAAACAAAAATACATGGAATTCTTATACAGTTTAACCTTCTTTACAGAACCAAGCTCCTCTTTTTCAGATTCTGAAGCTGATGGTTTAAACCAGATTGAGGTAATTCTAGATAGTCTTTTTATGAAGCATGACAATTCATGATCTTTTTACATCCTTCTTTTCTTGTGATAGGGTAGCACCAACAATCAAAGTGACAGTGAAGTTCCTTCTTCAACTCATGTTGAACCTGCAAGAGAGAATGTAATAGTACTTTGAAAGTTCATTTTGTATAAATTTTTTCTCATACCCTTGTTATTGGAAATATCAAGCTGATATCTTTTTGTTAATTCTGCCAATACAATGATAGTTCTTTATCTTTGTTGGCATTTGGTATTTATTCTGCTAGCTTGAGTAATATATTCACCATTGTCAGATGACAGTTGGAAGGTTGATGGAGATCTATGAAACATGCATTTCCAGTTTACGAAAAACCCAGGCATCTCGCCGGACTCTGTCTCTTAAAAGAGTTGCTCCTGCGAACTTCTCAAAAAAGGTAGGTTGTTGGATACCATAGGAAGTTATGAATCATGATTTTGTGCATTAAGCTTGCATATGTTTATTTTATTGAACTTACTGCATATTGGTTTAAGTGCCTAGGAATTGACATGATGTAGAAGGTCAGGTGCCAAGAGCAGTCAGTCTGGTTGTGCTGTCGTGGCCCACAAATAGAAATGAAAATAAATAAATAAAGACACGACCGGACATGTGTGACATGTGTCCGGCCATGTCGATGATGTATATGTGTTTTGACACATGTTGAACATGGACACGTCTATCAAAAGCATGTGCCCATGCTTCTTAGGTTGGAGCTAGCCAAAAAGCAGCTCGTCATTGCCCAGAGTTGTTTGACTTATGATCATTCCTAATTATTCTGCCTGAATCTGAACACTAGGGAAGAATAAGAGAATGATTGGGGATGACGAGAAAATGACAGAGGAAGTAAAAGAAACATACTTAGCTTGTTGCATGCCCCCATCACCCATATCTAGCTGATTGTCAATTGATGTCATTTTTGCTGTTGGCATTGCAGCTACTTGCCACAATAAAAAGCAGAGGTGTTCAAACTGGTTTGAACCGAATTGTTAAGGATCAAATTGAACTTAGCTGAACTAAGGTAGGTTTGAATCGGAACTGATTCGGACCTACCCAACTGAACGTGTTCAAAACTGGTTAATCCGGTTAGTTGGTTTATAATTTCAAGCAATTCTTTAAAAATATATATTTTAAATGAATCGGTTTGCTTCGATGAACTGAACCAAAATTTTGGTCCAATTAGGCCAACATAACAAGATATGTAAAATTGGGCCCATGTCATTTGTGAAATTGTGGCATTGAAATTGAGCCAACATCGCTATTGTATCTGTAGTTTAATCACCAATTTGTGGAACCCAAGTACTCGAGGGCGTACCCAGTATACGAGGCTCCCGCCAATGTGGGGTCTGGGGAGGGTCAATGTATGTAGCTTTACCTTTAAGTATTCAAAGAGGTTGTTTCCGCAACTCGAACCCAAGTCTTCCAAGTTGTAAAGGAGCAACCTTATCATTGTACCAAGGTTTACCTCAAACCCAAGTACCCTAGGAATTTTGTAAAATCGGTTTTGTTCGAACCGTTAACCAAATTGAAGAAGAGTACCTTGAATTGGGACCGTTTATAGCCTTCAAAACGAAACTATTGATGAACCGATTCGGGTTCAATTCAGTTGTTTGGTTCGGTTTTAACACCCCTAATAAAAAGATATTGATGGGTCCAAGGAAAAGGGAGGGAGACAATAGGAAGAAAGTATTTGACTCATTATTGAGGGGATTCCCAATATCTGAAGATAAAGAAAAAAGAGAAGAGAAAACAAAAGAAATGGTTTGAAAAATAGTTTGAGCCAATGTTGTCAAAGGTGTTAGGCATTAATTGGCTAAAAGGTGTCGTGGTTCTAAAATGAGTGAGGCATAGGGGCTCGTCTAGGTGATTGCTTGAGTGAACCTAGACGCTCACCAGTATAAAAAATATATTTAAGGAAAAACTAATTAGTAGATTAAAATTTAAATAATATATGAGTTTCATATCATTTCATATTAAAAAAGATTATCACTAAAACCTCAAATTACATTTATTGAACCATATGTAAAGCAAGGTTATGATACTGTTCAACATGGTTCAGTATGGTACATGATAGATTGAGTAGTATGCCTGATATATACCATCTGTGACAGGCTGACAATTTCTTTCTTTTATTTTTGTCAGCTTTTTTAGATTTTTACCAAAACTCGATACGTATCGATATACCGACACTCGGTTCATCAGTCTGGGCAAGTATGGTACCAATCGGAGCCCTGATTGGTACCTTACCAATATAAGAAATTGTGAATCTTGGTATACAGTATTATAACTCTCAATCATCCAAATCCAACAACAAAAATAACAAAACAAAAGAAGAGTAACATTTATCAGTCCAAAACCCATTTTGAAATATATAAAATAATGAATGGGTATTCAAATATATTGATTGTTTCTATTTGTTAACATTTTAATTTGTAATCATACTTTAGTATCCTTAACTAGAATAGTAGTCGTGTTTGACACTAAGATCTATATTTGCATCTGATATCAGTACCTGGGTCCAAATAACTGTTTTTTCTTTCTATATTTTCAATTTATTTTGATCATCTCCTATTATTACGCTGTGTATTTATGATGATTAGTTTCATTAGAATCAAGATTGTTATGTTTTATGTTGATACTTTTCGTGAAATCGTGATAGGTTATGTTGCAAACCAGCATATTCCTGTGCTCCTATGCATTACTTTGATTTCCTTCTTGGTTTGTTTTATTATTCACACCACTGCAAAAGTGAGATAATATACATCATATGGTAACCAACCAGGAAATTGGATTTTTCAGGCACGCCTATCTGTTCCTGCAACAATTCTGCAGCAAATCCAATATCTGAACAGTCTTGATGTGGAACTTTACAAACATGCTCAAAATATATTCATACGGCAGGAGAAACATATCATGCAAAGTGCTGAAATTTTCATTCAGCCAGAGGTATTTATCTGAACAGTCTTGATATAGAACTATACATACATGCTCAAATCTTAGTCCTTCAAAATTCCTTTTCCAGCTGCCTTGCTTTGCAAAGAAAGTAGACTTAAAAGTTTGTCTTACTCCATAAAATCTCATCTGTAACAGAAGATTCATTATAGCTAAAGGTGGTGATTGTCAGTATAGCTTAGACTTTCAGCAAGCGATGAATTGCATTCTGGTTTACTACATGAAGTTTTTTAATTTTAAGTGGAAAAACACCATATACGATTATCATGCTTTTGTGGCCCATATGAAGATGTCAAATTCAGATTAGTGCTTATAATATCGGCCTATCCAATTATTGTTCCAGCTATTCATTGGTTTGTCATTGTTTGAGTAGTTCTTCAAATATTCCTACCACTAATAAAATATTGTGAGCAGCATTGGTTGGCTTTGCTGGAAGCTTGCAATCCCAACTCTTGGTTTGCTGTTACTTCTACATGCTTGTCCGCTGCTTAGAGTGCTGACGTTGCAACTGAATCAATCTTGGACTTTTGATGAACTGCTTTTCTTGGATGTCTGTAACTTCACTCACCCAAATGGTGTTCTGAAACTTGTGCCTGTTTCTGCTGCTAGTTCTTTCTTATTGATCTTATGTATCGAAATGTTCTACGTGCCAAAAAAATATGAATCTGCATTTTTTATTGTCTGGCTCAGGCTCACATTGCAAGTTTTCATTGATGCTGCAGGACCTGCAGACAGCAGATTGTGGCGGCTCATATGGATGCCCACCTTGGAAATCACTCTTAGTCATTGCATTGCTGGCGATTGTTGTTCTTATCATGCTGTTTCTATCGACAGGGAGAAGGACTAACAAAGTAAAGAAATGATGATAGGATGACAAACTGTGTAATCTTCTCAAGCACAAGTCGGATTGGTTGGTGTGAAGTTTTGTGAATGCTGAAACGACTTCTGCTGCAAAAAAAGATTATAGAATGCAAATGAAGAAAAGAAACGACAGAGCTCAATAGATTCGACATCAGATATTATTTGTTGGTCTCGTTATTGTGTTAGATCTCCATTGTGGGCGGCTCGTCTCCTTTTCGGTGTTCTTGTTCTTCCACTTCCAAAAGGTGGGAGTAAAACCCAGCTTTGTTCACTCAATTCAGGATTAAAATGGAGCTGTCCTGTCCGGTACATAATTTGTTAAACCTGTCAGTTCGATATATGGTTATTTGACGTTTTGATTTGTTTAAAACGTCAACAATAAAATCATTAGTCCTAATTATATAATTTATTTGGGATTGATTGCACATTAAGATTTATAAAAGTCATTAAATCTATAATCCTTAACTTTTTATTTATAATTTTTATTAAAGATTTTATTTTATTTTTATCTTTTCTCAGATAATTAAGTATATATTCATATACTCTTAAATGTTATTTTCTCATTTTATGATTCATCAAAGTGATACTTCAAATTCTGGACACAGAAGAAATTACTCGAAGAGTTGCATAAGCATATCGACACACAGATTTACTTGTCTTGGTTTTGCTTAAACAATCTTGCTGAGGCGGATGGCTACAACAAGCAACACCGGATGAGACGACAAGAACTAGCACAACAAGTGCCGTCGTCACCATCTTAATCTGAAGGTTGACAGCCCAGAAGAAACTTATTCCAGGTGAAATGCCATGGTCATATCAGCCAGTAAGAAAATGAACACAGGAAAGAAAAAAAGAATAAAAGGATCTGGAAGCCACTCCACAAGAAGGCTGATTAATTACTGTGAATACACTCCTACATCAACATGCAACAAACAAACAAAATTATCCACCCGGTGAACACGAGTCGTCGAAGGAACCGTGATCTGCTACGCCGAGACAGCAACAAGAATACTTAGATCGCGAGCATAACCACTTATGCAGAAGAATACAAGTCTTTGATCCCCAAATAGCACACACCTTTGATAGCTGACTGATCATTCTTCAATTTTATTAGTAAAGCAAACCAAATCCATCCTTCAGAAACTACTTTTACATTATAACTTCTCACCACCAAAGGAGGAAGAAGGAAACAAACGTATCACCCAGGAAGTAGAAATAGTCCATACATATGAGAGGTTGATACAAACACATTCAGGATGGATGCTAGTCTCATATCCAGCTTAACAACCAAGTAGAAGGATTCAACGAATTTCTTCGATTTGGCATGTTTTCAATAACACTTCATAGAAAATGTCAGCGAGTAGTGAAACTCAAAACATTTATCTCTATGACTCCTAACACAGATGACAGCAATGAAAGAAGTTGGGAAAGAGTACAGTCTGAAAGAACACAAAATTTAAGATGTGATAGATGCATCTCTGAGCAAGCTACATGAACATTCTTATCGTCGGTAAAATCTCCAAACCTATGTAAACTAACTTTTCATATAATTTATGTTTCATCCAGTCTAGACATCCGGATCTAAAAGCAATAGCAGCTCTTTATGAACTAACGAGCGATAAATAAGGACTGTTTGTTTATCAACCAAAAATTGGAAATCATAGTTACATGACATCTGACCCTGCAAGAGTGGGATACTAGCCAGCATGTTTCAGTGACTACTGAGTTTTACTTTTTTGTGAGTATTTTTCATTGGGGCTGAAACAGATGCAACAAACTGCAAAGAGTAAAAAAGCAATCCTTAGCCGCAACTTTATAAACAACTTCAAAAATTTTGTGCTTGGGAAAGAGACCAATGGTCTGAAATGGTCCCACATTCCAAGAGCTTCCAATTTTGTTGCCCATAGGCTTGCTAGTAGGGGTAAGGGCTTCAGGGCAATTATATAGGTGGGATAACTCCACCGAATTCTGTAGCTTGAGCTTGGTTAATTACCTGAACGAATGAGATTTAGATTTTCTTTTTTTTTTTAATTGAAAAATTACCTTGACACCACATTCTTTTTCAACTAGGCTTGCATCTCAAGGATTCTTGCAAATGACATCTTTGTATCCATGTTTAAAGCCAAATATAGAGGAATCCAACATTTGATGAGTGAGAACACATGCAGAGTTAGATGAAGATGTAGACAAATATTATATGATGCAAAGTTTCAACCACAGAGAACACACCCAATACAACAAATTTCCGATGTAATACAAGATCAATGGGAGAAAGAAAAACTGACACATTAATATCAATTGAAGTACAATAGTAGTAAGCTGCAAACGACACTTATCAAGGCATGAAAATACAAAAGAACTGATGACCAATTTTATTTCCTCAAGATGGAGGCAACAACAATGAAATGGCAGAATAGTACAGTGTGAAGCTAACAAAAATAAAGAGTTTAAAAAAGAAACCTAAGAACATGCAGATACATCATATTATTATGTGTGGCTGTACTGCATGATCCATGTGAACACTCTCATGCTAAAAGATAATTTGGAAGAAGTTAAAATTTTTGGTTTTGAAATGAGATCAGGGAAAAGCTAGAAGATGAAAGAAAGAGAGTTACATAGAAGAGAGTGTTCTACTAAATCCTGAGTAAAATCTGAAATTTCAAAAAGGCAGAAATTACCCTGGCAGAATCAGTTATTTATGCCCTTTGATCAACCAATCTTGCATATCCTCCTAATGCCAGAAGATATGCAGCAATTCTTCAGATACTCAGCAGCCCATCACAGCACAGTTATACACAAAGCTTCCACAGTGCTTGCTGGCAATCATATTCCACTCTGGAGGCCCATCTCTCGGTGTCCATGAATTGAGTTCAATCATCCCACCCCCAAGAACTCGTGGTCCACCGATTACTATGAGCCGTTCACCACAAGCCCGAAATGCTAGGCCCCAACCATTTACTGAATCTGGCCTCTCGGGCAATCTTCCCAAAGTGATCCAAGAGTTACTCTGCTTGTCATACTTCCTAACCTCCTTTTCCGCATAGTCAGCTGCATATAGCTCATTATTAACTACCGCAACAAGTGGAGGTGCACCACTCGGGCCATTGAGCCCCAGGGACATACTTGGAATAACCCTCCAAGTACCTTTCTTCATATCATATTCTTCCCCACATGTCAGCAAGTCTGTAGGGCTAGACATTCCTCCGATGACATAGAACTTGTTGTCCATGAAGACACCTGAGCACATCTTCCTTGGTTGATTCATGCTAGGAAGAGACACCCAATTTTGTGTTTCAGAATTGTAAAGCTCTGCAGAACTCAATATAGTACCTCGAGCATCTATGCCACCAGCTACAATAGCTCTCTCCCCAAAGCTGGCAGATCCAAATAAGCACCTAGGGGAGTTCATTTCAACACCTTGGGACCAAGAATTTGTTAAAATACTATACCTCAGTATTATATGGGAAATACGAGATGTATAGTCCCTTCCAAAAACAAGGAGCTCGGTGCCCACAGCCAATGATTCCTTATCCGAGCGCATGAAGAAATCATTCGGGGGCATTCTTGGAAGGTTGATCCAGCGACCACAATACGGATCATATGCTTCCCACTCATTTATGTTGCAGGAGAAGTAAATCCAGTGCTCGATAATCCCATCATGCCGCCGCAGCTTGTAGAGGTCACCAGATCGTATCAGGGAATTAAAAGCCCGGTTGAGGGATGCAAGGGTGCCGTAGTCGGATCGAGAGCATTGAACCAGACACTTGATAGACATGTCACGGCCAATTTGGCCGATAAGAGAGTTTGTATCAGAAAAATGGTTATCGTCATCGCTTGGACAACAGGATTCATCAAGAGATGAGGGAGGCTCTTGGAGCTCCGTGGACTTGGACCTCTTCACTTTAGCAGTTTCTTCTAGCTCTAAAGGTTCTACAGATGGAGCGCGCTTGGTGGTCGTGATCTCAAGGAGATGGTAGGTCATGTAAACCCACTTGGATTCTTGTTCGCGGGAGCTTGACAATGCTCTCGTGATCAAACACGACTTCCTATCTAACATACCCTTGAGCCACGCCAAATCCAGCCCCTTACTTTGATTGAGTTGCAGCCATCTATTTCCTTCTAAAAGCTGCGAGCAAGTAATTTGCTGGAGAGGTAAATGAAAGAACAAAAAGATCAGCAAAATGACATCATGCACAAAGACACAAATCTTGATATAACTATAGAGAAGAGGGAAGAAAAAAGGGAACTTTGTTGATGAAAACAAATCATGCTGGCTATTTTGCCGATCAAATTTAATCATCAGAAACACAGAAACTGTCCTCGAAAACAAAGAAGAAAAATCAGAAAACCAGAAATCCCAAAGAAGAAGATCGAATCTTGAGGAACCCGTGGATCAGGACACAATCGCCGAACCGCCGCACAAGAAAAATGCAATCTTTCATCAAATTCGATCGATCTAACGAAGCTTATCAAGGAACAACAACGGTTGCACACCAAGAAAGGGAAATTGAAGAGTCAAACCCTAGCACGGACGATACCGGGCACAGATCCCCCAATTTCCATAAAAGAACACCAAAGTTTCCATTTTTCCTCTTCCCTTATCCCAGCGATGGAAAGATCTGCCACAAAAATTCCGCAACAAGACCTCCAGAAGATTACCATATCCGGCCCCAAAATCCCTTTTCTCCGCTAGTATTAGCGAGCGGGGTGCAGGTAGCAACACGGAGAGACGAAAAGGAGAGATTTTGGACTTACATGTGCATTAGCAGCGAGGAGGAGGAGAAGATGAAGCTCGTATTGAGAACCCAAAGGAAGGAGAGAAAAAAAAAAAAAAGGATCGAAACCGATGCCGACGTTGCTCTCCCTCCCTCTCTCTCCCTCTCTCCTTACTTTCTTTCGCGCTCCTCCTCCTCCTCCTCGTAGTTATCTTCGTCTTCTTCTTCTTCGATTCGTCCTTGCAATCGTGGGGTGCTCAAAGTTCATAGCGCTCCGTGTGCTTCGGGCTTTGCGAGCAGCTCATTCTTTTCCCTTCCTTTTTTTGGCCCCCCCAACCCTCACCCGCACCGCCCCTTTTATTGTCTCCCACGCCCTTCTTTCTTTCACCTCTCTCTCTCTCTCTCTCTCTCTCTCTCTCTCTCTATTTATTTATTTCTTAAAAAATATTCACAGTGCAAAAAACCATTTCTAATTAACCAAAATTTTCAATTTTAATATCTTTTCTCACCCTTTATTTGATTAAAATTCACCAAATTATTTATTCTTAACAAAGAAAAATCTGGCGTTTGACCGTTGACTTTTTCCTCAACATAAATATTAAATGATAATAATAATAATATTTTTCACTGGAAACACTTTTAAATCTTGTAATGTATGAAGAAGAGGGATTCAAAAGAGAAATAAAAATAGCTTTCTTTCTTTTATTTAAAAGACAGAATATTTCCTCACTTCTTTCTCGTCTTCCTCTCGTGCATCGAGCAATGGAGAGAAACCGATCGTGTCTTCAAACCCAGCATTTTCCCTCCAGATTGAGGACCAGCGATAGCAATGTCCTTATCCTTTCCGGCTGACAGTATAAGTTCATCCGATCGCAATGATCACGGAGGACCCAAAACTTGGACGATAAGGTGATGACCAAACTCTCATGATGCTGAATTATTGATCGAATTACAGGTGGAATCCAATTTCGTGTTCGACTAGTTGTGTTGCCAGGAGAACTCGGTTCTTGCGACCATTTGCATGAGTTGACGTTGGACTTTGAGATGTCTTTGGGATGGATCCTTTCAACCTAACTTTTTGTAGGTATGATGCGATCTGAACGAGTAGAAGAACTCTTCGTCTGACCCATCGACACACGAGTCAATGTTTTTGATGAGCATGAAAGTAAAAGATGTCTAAATTGCATGTGTTGGGAGTGTTTCTACTCCAATATTGTGTGTCATACAAACATGATTAATCTGACGATGGAATGATTCACCAAATGTGCAAAGAACACGAACGACGTTGGTGCTGACTGCAAGCGTCAGTCAGGATCAAAGCGGAGAAAACTACAAGGCATGCAGCAAGCAAGCAAGCAAGCAGATAAGGATGACCGAGTTCCGTCTGCTGCTGGATTTGTTGGACCGAGAGGATGATGGAAGGAGAAGTGCAGTTCGTTCCATGTTTCTTCCTCACGAATCGCAAGCTGGGGTTGGTCAAATCCAGAGAAGATGAAAAGGAGAGAGAAAGAGAGAAGGCCGCAAACATGTTCATGTGGCTAATGCATATCCACACAGTGATTCAAGGCAAACTTGTGCAGCTCAGCAACTGCTTCAGAGCACTACAAAGACAGGCACGAATTTGGAGAGAGAAGCCGAAGAGGGACACCATGACAGCAACATATGGCCAATGCATGTGGTTCCAATATCACCTCATTCCATGAGACTCGTGTACCTCAGAAAAGTCCCACTAATGGAGCATCTAAAGCCCTAAGAATTCTCCTTTCGGGAAAGACAGTACTGCAATGCAATGATCCTGGACTGGTTGGAACCCGTCGTCATCAGTTCGATTCCCTTCACCCATCAAAAGTCGGCATTACGCGTCCGCAGGAATCGAGTTCTCCAACAACACGATGCAGGATTCCCATGCATTACTCCATCTGTTCTTCATTAGCTTATCATGCAGAACTATGACCAGTACTCCATGATCGATCGACCGCTTCGCTTTCCACTTCTTGGCAAGCGCAAGATAAACCGATGCCTGCAACACTTGGCATCATAAGATCCTTCCTTTATCTTCTTCTCGATGACTGTTCCTTCCTTCACCTCCATCCCACATAAAAGACAACTAATAAAGAAGAAGCACCGATGAGCTTGCGGAGGGAGGGCATGACAACTGCTAAGCAGAAGAAGAATGTTCTTCCCGGTGGGTGCATGCAGACTGTGGCCAATACGTTGCCGAAACCTCGTTTTCCGAGAACAAGCAGACCTATTACGATATGAAAGGTTTTGCTTCGGGAGAGAGGCATTTTTGGGCGGCTAACGACGACTTGTCGCCGCACGCCAGCGAGTGGGAAGGCTGCTGCGAAATGTTACGGACACAGAAAGCAATTCCTCTCTTATCCGTTCTGTTTTCTGTTTCTTGTTTCGGTTACTTACCACTCTTTTGCCCTCAATTGTTTGGCTTGTTTTCTGCAACAAGCAAGCAACCAACCGCAGTGTTGCGCCAACAAGAACACGAGAATATGTAATGTAATGGCAAAGATAGTTATTCTCTATTTAAAATGAGATAATATTATGTACTGTGTTTAAATAAATAAAAATATATATAAAGATAAATATTATAATAAAAATTATCTATTTGAAGTGTTTGAATGAATCAAATAAAAATCATGATGACAATAATAAGAGAGAATAGAGAAAAAGAATATGGTGATAAAAGGAAGGATGATAAAGACGACGATAAAGAAAACAAAGAATCATAAGTTTGATATGCTATCATTTTCATTTAGGAGTTGATTTATAAGCTCATAAATTTCATTCTCCCTTAATACAATTTCAATTTTTGCTTGACCACTTAAGATTTTAATTGGTATTAGGATTTTAATTAGCCGCTAAAAGAAATTTAATGCCACCGATAAATACGGATATCAACATCGCAAAGTGACATGACTCAGTGCCTAACTCAATCACATCCTTCTCTCGAATCTTAAGTCATGTTTTGAGTGACTGATTGATTGATTGATCGTGGGGGGGGGAGAAAGAAAAGCTTGTGATTAGCAAAAGAAAGTATCTTTCTTTGTAATCAACTGTTAGAGATAACACATTTATGTTATCTTACTCTCTTAGGTTTGGTGTTTGGTTACATCACAAGTTAATGGCACAGCATGGGCTCGTGGGAGAGAGACTTTGACTTGAGGATGCCTACATTTTCCTTTGTCTTTTCATGCCCTTGAAGATTCCCAATACGACCCAAAAGAAAAGAGTGACATCAAAGGATAAGGATGCAAAGAAAATTCATATAGCTTGAAAATTCCAATAAAATACCTTTTGCTAGTATTGCTTTCTTTTCTCTTTTCATGTGGCACTTGTAGAAATGTATATTATGCTTGTGGCTAACATTCTTTGTTTTATATAGTAATGGATGGATTTTGACCGTTGACTTATGGAAGTATCTCAACATAAATATAATTTCTTTGGTAATGTGGTTTAAGAGATGCTATTAAGGTCCTTGAGATATAAATTTATATGTCTCTCCTTAGAAAAACTTAAAAGAGATAAAGATTATTGTTTGAGTGCATATTATATAATTCCGAGATGTGTTGTAGAAAATGAAAAGAGAATAAATAAGTACTCCAAGAAATCCATATTAATTTATTGCTTGAGATCCTATTTCTATTTTCCATCCATACTCTACCTGCATGATTAAAGTAGAGATACTATATTTATTATTTTCATTACTGTTATCAATAGGAGTGTAATAAAAAGTAGATAATTTTAAAATTAAAATATGCTAATGTACTCAACAAAATGATAAGATTTCCTATGTACATAGTAATTTTGACATATATAAATAATCATAACCTCTGACCAAAGAAAAACATACATATATAATATGTCTAAATTTTATAGATACAAAATGCTCACGGCTCATCATTTATATCTGTGCTGATATGAGATTGTATGTGCTCAATCACTCGAGTTGGGTTATAGTATCACTTGTAAAATAAAATCTATAATGAGTAATCACTCAATAACTATAAACTTTTATAGTTTTATTCATATAAACATACATCTTATTTTATATATAATATTTTAAAATTATGAATATAAGATATTTAATGATAAACATGTTTATCACATCATATGATTTCTTTAGTAAATATAATCTGACGAAATAGTATATGCATAATAAGAAGATAAAATTATATATATAAATAATTCAAAATATTTATATGCATGTGTAGAAAATAAAGTAAATTTATGAATATTAAATATTATTATAACTCAACAAACATTATAAACATGAGAGAGAATGAAAAAATAATAAATAAAATAAGATTTTTTTTTATTCTTAAATATATAAAATATAAACTCATCTCCCCAAAACAAAAGTTTCCGCATCAATTCAGTAAACAGCAATATAGGGCTGATGTGAGAGGCGTGTGGTAAGAGAAGAAGACCATCAATCAACACGACCAAGTCGAGAACATAAGGCCAAAAGGAGAGATCAAATCAACATGGAGACGCCAATGTCGCATCCTTTCCCGTTCAATCTTCGCGGCTAATCCGTCCACACCTTTCGCCAATTAAGGCACACCCGCCGATGACAAGACACTCCAATCGTGTCGGCAACAGAACCCATTCCACCCGGACCTCGGTCGACGGGCCGACGTCGCCACCGATAACACGTGCGGCGATAGCGACCACCTTCCCAAGGAAGAAGAGGTAATGCGACCAGTCTATTGGAGCCAATTAATGTTCGGTCCGAGGATGCTGACGATGTCAAGGAGGATAACCTGTGTCATCTGCATGCTTGTCTGTGGCCACATGCGTCGGACGAAAGGGTTGATGGCGAGACTGTGCATTGCATTTGTCCTGCCTTCGGTAGGCCATATATAAATATCTTTTCTTTATATATGCTTTAACCTTTATAAATAGAGTAATAATGAAACATATGATATTTTTAGCAACATAACATATGCATTAGATACTAATTCAACCTATCTTACGAAAAATTAAAATGAAAATATATAAGATCATCATGCATATCGATACGTGAAGCCAATTAGTTCCATCCTTCACATTAATTAGCATGGATGACTAATATGTCTCCAATTTTAACGCGCATGGATAATGCATGGCTTTTGGTGAGCTCAAAATGGGGCCCAACCTGGCCCAGGCCCACGCTCTTCTCCTCGGATGGGCTGGATCACCCTCGAAAGCAGTTCAAGGCTGATGTGGCTTCCCCAAGACCTCGCGCTGGGCCCGAACAGTGACTGGCTGCAGCTCATGGGACCCATTCCAACATGTAGTTTAGCGGCCGACTAGCGGAGAGAAGACATCACCATCCCTTCCTCTCCTTCTTCGTTCCTCC